GGAGCCCGTTGGTGATGGTGGAGTGGGGGAGGGTGGTTATGGATGAGGTGCAGATGGTTGGGGGGGGGAAGACTGAGTGCGTTTTCTCTACCTTCCCTTGTTTCTTCTTTCCTTCTCTTTGCTCTCTTTGTTCCTTTGTTTCTTGCTTTTTTCTTCGTGCTTTGTGGTTTTTGTGTGAGGAAATGCTGATGCGACTCCCACAATAGAGACATGGTATCCCTCATCCCGCGCCTCTCCTCCTTCGCCGTATCAGGGACCCCCGCAAGGCAGCAGGTCGCAGATCTCATGCATGTCCTCAAGTACGTCCCCCCCTTCTCCCCCTTCCCTCCCCCCTCCTTCCTCCTTCCTCCATCCGTCTTCGTCTTTGCTCACACTGCATCCTGTCGCGTGGTAGGTTCCTCAGGGTGGACCACCAAATCGGGTCTCCGCGCCTATGGACAAGGCTTACGAGTACGGGGTTCGGAGCGGCGTATTTCGCGGGGATGTTCGGGGCTTATGGGATCCGGTGCGTTTCTCCTCTTTTTCTTTTCTCTACTACTTTATCGGTTTCGCTTTTTCTCTGGCCTTGTGAGACACGGATGCTGATATTTTGGGCGGGCGGGGGTAGGACGCTGAAGAAAAATGTACAGGAGGAATTGACGATCCCGCAGCAGACGCGGTATTTGGTGGGGATTGGGCTGGGGGCTGTTGAGAAGCATGTTCGTTCCTTTTCTTTCCTTCCACCTCGTTCCCCCCCACTCTCTTTTCCCCTCTTTTCCCTCCCCCTCCCCCCCCCCCCCCCCCAACCCGTTCATGAGCTCACACACACCCCCTCCCCAGGTATACGACCAAACCCTAGAACAAGCCCTGCAAGACCTCGGCCTCGACGCGCGCGGCATCGCCGCCTCCGACGGGTGGCAGATAGATGGTGCGACCCTGCGCGCGGCGATCCGGCGCTTGAGGGCGATGTGTACGCATCCGCAGGTGGGGATGCTGCAGGGGGGTGGTGGGAGGGGGGAGGGGGGGGAAGGGGGGGAAGGGGGGGATTTATAGGGCGGGGAGGGTGAAGAGTATTGGGGATGTGCTGCAGAATATGAGGGATGGGAATTGGAGGGATATGATGGATGATCATCGGGCCAAGGTTAGTCCGGGTCGATAAGAGTGCGTATGGCTTTTGGAGGGACTGATGGGGGTGTTACGATTAGGTGCACGCGTTGATACGGATCGCACAGCTGCAGGCGAGGGATGAGAATGATGCGGGGAGGTTTGAGCATGCGCTGGGGACGCTGGTGGTGGCGGAGAGGGAAGCGGAGGCGTTGGTGGATGAGGCGAGGGGGCGTTGGAGCGGTATGTCGCTGGGCGGAGGCATAAGCGCGTCGGGTCGGGTGCCCAAGAAGTGGGAGAGGGACAGGTGTTGGAGAAGGGGAAGGGCAGGGAGCGTGAGGAGGGTGAGACGGAGGAGGAGGAGTTTGAAGAGTCCTCGGATGAGGAGGAGGTGGATTTGAATTTGGGGCGAGGGAGGGGGAAGGGCGAGAAGGGGGAGGGAGAAGGGAATAAACGGGGCGCATTGCAGAATCGGCTGAGGGAGTGTAGGATTGCCTTGCATCGTGCGCGGTTCTTGATGGGGGACGTGTATCATGCGCTTGGGGCGCCGGAGGAGGACGCGGCGTATGCGGCTGCGGAGGAGATTCGGAGGGGGCTTTTGAAGGGTTAGTGTCTTTCCCTCTATTCTTCTTAAGAGGTGGGAGTGGGAGTGTTGATTTGGTGTTTCTTTTTGGTAGGCACGGAGGAGGAGGCGACGAGGGCGATGGCGCTGTTGACGCAGGATGCGACGAGGAAGCATATATCGAGGGAGGCGCTGTTGGTGGAGACACCGCTTTTGGACGATGCGGTGCTGACCTCCATAGCGGAGACGTATGCGCCGACCGAGGTGGAGTTGAAGGCGAAGCCGCAGCCTCATAAGGTTACAGTGTATAAGAGGCTGAGCGCGGAGATTGATCTCGTCAGTTTGTTCTTCTGTTTCTGTTCGCGAATGGGCAAGGTGTTGACGACCGTATGGTGATAGATTGAGGAGGCGCATGTTATCATGGAGGACGTGCTGAACGACCAGTCCACGTTGCTGTGGGAGTGGCGCACGTATATGACGACGCTCCTCACGCAGAAGTTAGCTGGTGCCGGAGATGAGGAGAGTCCAGATGGGGAGGAGTACCAGCGGACACTCGATAGCCAGGGGGAAGCCGAGGCCTACCTCCAAGCCTACTCTGCGCTGCTGAGCGATCGGAGGCAGGCGCTGTTGAATGAGCGGGACGCTGTTGGCGGCGCATGATGTGCGGGAGAAGAAGTTGCGGCATACGAAGGCGGCGATGGCTGCTGCTGCTGGGCTCCTAGAGCGAGGCGGTGGAGGGGGCGAGGATGCGGATGCGGATGGGGAGGTGATGATGGCGGTGGCGGAGGATGTGGAGGTGAAGCCGGAGCATGAGGTGTTGCATGCGCAGCTTTCGGGAAGGAGGAAGGAGTTGTTGAGGAGGTTGGGGGGGAGGGCGATTAAGAGTGTAGGTGGCTTTGAATGGGACTGGGTTGGTAGGGTGGTTGCTGATTTGGCTTTTTTTTGGGTGGGGTAGGTGCTGGTTGATTTGAACACTGCTGCGACGCGTATACATAGGGATACGGATCCGGAGAAGGTTGCGTTGAAGGAGGCTGTTGCTGGCTTGAGGCAGTTGATGACTGATCAAAGTATGGGTCCTTATCTGTGCTACGAACCCATCGACTGATTCATTATCCTTTACTAGCTGCGCTCATGGATAAACTAGATGTGGATCTCGTTCTCATCCGCAAGGCGTTCAATCAGCGCATCCTGTACTTCCGCCAGCTCCAAGAGATCTCCGATACCGTCGCAGAGGTCGAGTGGGAGGGGCCGGTCGTGGAGGCGCTCCTCCAGTCTACATTGGAGAAGAATGACCTGGACGCCGAGATCAATAAGAGTCGGGCCCGACAACGGTATTTGGACAACTTGACGAAGAATAAGGATGCTGGGATTCGGGATGAGGATGAGGAGAGCTGTATCCTTTGTAGATGCGAGTTTGTGCGCGGGTTTATCACGCAATGGTAGGTCCTTGACACTTTTACATGTTCTACTCGCTGATCGTGTTCGCCCATAGCGCCCATGTCTTCTGCGAGGTAGATCTTTTTGCATTTCTTGACTGGAATTTCGCTGACGTAAGATGATTAGGGATGTATGAAAGCCTGGCTTCTTCGAAGGGAAGGCAAGACATGCCCCGTGTGCAGGTACAGTCAATTTTCAACCCTCTCTTTCATGGCTAACTATTCGTCACAGGGTGCCCATCGATCCCGACACGATCGAGCGATTCACCGTCACCCCCGATCAGCCTGAGGCCGTAAAGGAAGCTCAGAAGGCTGTACAGGGAGAGCCGGCCCCGCGATCACGGCGGCGGCAGATAGCGTATAACATGATAGGTTCTCCTGACGTTCTCGGTCTTTCATCCTGTACTGACTAAGACATCTAGATCCCAAGCTTTTCCAGGACATCAACTCGATGGAATCGTTTGGTGATTATGGAAGCAAGATACAGACGCTCGTTCGGCATTTGCTTTACCTCAAGATAACCGATCCGGGGGCTAAGAGTATCGTCTTCTCGGCTTGGGCGGACTCCTTGCATAGTGAGTTCTGATATTTATTGAGGGATTTTATGCCAAGTTTGCTTTTAGTCATGGAGCGTGCTCTGAAGTCCAACGGTAAGTACCGTTTGATGTGTTCACAATCTAGGCTCAAAATAGTGCTCAGGGATACGATGTTTACGAATCGACCAGAAATCAAAGGGCGAGAGCGCGGCGAAAAGGTTCAAGAACGACCCGGAAATTCTTGTTCTGCTCCTGCATGGGTACGTTGTCCCTGTTGATTCTTTCTTGATTCTTCATCTAATTCCATCGTAGGGAACGGGAAAATGCTGGCTTGAACATTACCTGCGCATCCCGCGTCTTTCTTCTTGAAAGTGTCGTCCATCATGGTTTCGAAATACAAGGTGGGTTCCGCTCGTGTCTTTGATGGTGCTGCGGCTGATATATAACATCTGTAGCCATTGCCCGTATTGACAGGATGGGACAGACGCGACCAACAGAAGGTACAACATGATGACCCTCACCCTCCGTCCTACCATTTTCTTACCATGATCATCAGTGTACTGCTATTACGCGGAAGGTCAGTCTCTTTCCTCTACGTAGTCGCAGCCGATATTTATGTCTCCACGTAGATACCGTGGAACGGAACATTCTTGATTTGGCCGCCCGACAAGGACTGTCCCTTTACACCAAGGAGAATTCCGCAGGCACCCTGAATGTTACTTCCCTTGCGGTTGAGAGTGACGCGAAGGTCGTCGACTCGCCAAGAAAGAAGAAGGTTCAGAAAGGAGACTTTATATTCAAGTACGTCTCCCGCTTGAGGTCTTCTTCCTCGTCAGCTCATCGCGGATCTACAGGATGGACGACATGCTGGCGATCCTGTTCCCACATATGTACGAAGAGCTAGAATATCTGATTCCGCCAGAGGACGCCGAGATGGAGAGCCCGACCGCGTCACAGTCCCTGGCTTTGACCTCGGCCGCGTTCCACGCGGTACAAAATGGAGTAGAGTATGCTGATAATGCTGTTGCTGGACCTTCGAGATTACTCAGTGACATCTAGATTCTAACTGGCTTATGTTGTCGGATACTTTCGCATAGACGTAGTAATGTATGCATGTACTTTATTAGAGGTATAATTATTGGTGTGGTTTTTCCCTGTCGGAATGAGGCTGGTGACAGTGACAGCATATGTGGCGGCTGGCGCGAAGATACTGACGGTCAATTCAGTTTGACTGTTTGGTAACATTCTGCTGCCTCCTCTCGGGCAGTGCATTTTGATACCAGAACATAGGCACTTATGAGTCTCTCCTGATATTGTTTAACTCATACCTGAACTTGGTTTGATACCTGAGTTGATAAAAAAAAACTGCTGCCCCTGCCAAATTGAGTCGACCCAGGTTCGAACTGAGGACCTCCTGTGCACACACGTACCAAATTTTCTATGTGAGACAGATGCGATAACCAACTACGCCATCGACCCATGTGTCATCGTACGAGTGCAGTACATCCCAGGGGATCCTCACAGATGTTGAGATAAGTATCAGACCGTTCTTTACAATGTTCATGAGCCATATGTAAAATGCCCTTGAAGACCTCTGAAGATGTTATACTAATAGAAAGCAAAGAACTGTCCAAGTGCAAAAAAGCAGGCAACAAGATGTTTGTGACGCGGGAGTAAACTAGGGCGGGGTTAAACGGTTGGAAGCTGGCAGCGCACGATGCGTCCCATGCGACTGCTCATCTCCGACCTGTCATGGCAAAGGGGCTGAGCGAACTTTTGAAAGTTCATAGGGGAAACTGCACTTACATTCACGAGATCGCCGTTGATATTCAGGTTGTGACCAAGAGCTTCGTCCAACCTATTCACGACGTTGCAAGTGCAACCCTTGCAGTGATATATAGCCTGTATCCCCGCGGCGCCTGTGGTACAAGAACGCGCGAAAGCCTGAGGCTCGTCAACGGCCTCATAGAGATCATGGGACACTTGAGTTACTGGAATTACGGTGTGGACACGCTGCCGACCGATAGCTAAGAGGGGGTGAGCGCCCCTAAAGTATGACAGGAAACATATTAAACATACATCCTTCCTCCGAATTAGCTTGGCTGACGTTATCTGCATGGTACTGGCCATTTTCGTTTACATTTGAGCTCTTGTCGATGTCAGCGGCCTTATCAAGGGTTTTAGCGTATACTGCACCGGTGTTAATTTGCGAGAGGACCTGTTGTCATAGCCTCATGGTTAAGCCTTTTCTATAAACGAAGACGCGTGCTCGTACCTTGTTTTGGTCGGTAACTGACACGGGTTGATAGGTTAAGATGGAGATATGGTAATATGATATGTACGCACTTTGGCCAGTAGCCTCTTCAACTTCAACGTTCCGGACGTGTTCATGCGTCAGAGCTAGATGGTATCTTCTTTAGCTTGTAACCTTAACATGATTAGTGCGACGCACGATCCAGGTGATGCGTCGTACTAGTCGTGCCCTTAGTCAGCGGTGGAGACTTATTTAGAGCTAGCACTTACCTAGCGATGCAAGGTTCTGAACGGCTGAGGATGCCTGCGATATGACATTAGGATAGAGGTAATGATATGCATAAAAAACATGGTCGTACCATTGCCGTTGTGAGGGGTATTGACGATATCAAAGCCTGCGCTCGTGATTTGGTCATCGCTAACCGGGGGCTTGTTCCCAGATGCATGTCGTACAATGGGGGCATAGCTGAGGTTAAGAGGATCTATACAGAGAGCGACGCCATTAAAGGCTGCTTGAAAAGGCTGCTTAAATATATCCAAATTTTTGAAACGGACCTTGAGTGCCATTAACGTGGTCGGCGCCGGCAGTTGAATCGGCTGTTCCGTTCGCAGCTCTGGCAGTCGAGGCGTTACGATTCTCTCGAACAGCTACCCATCCACGATCCATGTCATCTTGTACTATTGGGGCCGAAAGTCAACGAGTGATGCTTTTTGATAGGGTTGGAAACGTAGGAAACGTACCAAGTTTGGTGTCACTCTGGCGGGGGAAGTCCGTGGCTGCACGGGATGTCCGCCCCGAACACCTTGCCAAAGCGCTTAACCCTTGTGTGGTCATATCTTCCCCTGTGGAACCGACTAGTTCAAACCTAGTTCAGGTCGTGAGGAGGATGAAAATTGAGTGGCTCACGGCTGTTCCTAGCTTGCATTTCGTTACAGGTGCTGGAATTCGGTGTAAGACTCGGCGCTAATCCTGTCATTGGCTTGGCGGCTGTACCATCCTCCCGTCGGACTGAGCCGCCAGCTGCACCATCTAAATCCACATCACCAGATGCAGCGCCCCCTATCGCTGACGTTTTGAGGAATCGAAGAAGCGAGAGACGCAGGACTCACTGTCTTGGCTCGAGCCCCCGAAAAGATTTCCGTTTCCCAGACCCCTTCCATAAATTTCATAGGCGCTCTTCCGTTTAGGGCCTTCCTTCACCTGCTCCTTCGACGACCCAGGTCCTGTACCAGGTAGACCTTGCTGAGGATCGGTAGGTTGTATGGGATTAATACTCTTGTGATCGGTATTATCGGCTCCAGCGACGGAATGCCTAGTCGAATCTTCATCCCGAGGAGAAGTGCTTCTTCTGCTTCTCTTGTATTTGAAAAAAGACTTCAGGTCAGTAAGAAAACCTGGATAGGATTGCACATGAATGTCAAGGAAACGAAGCGGAACGGAAAGAATTGCTACGCACCCATAGCTCCAGTTCAAAGAGGATTCGACTACAAATCAACCTGCTCCTTGGTGGTTCAAGTTCACACAAGTCGCTTTGACATCTCATTGGACTTATGAGACTTTGTTTTAGGAGAATCTTTAGGAGAGATTTGAGACAAATGGGCCCGATCTCAATCCAAAACATGCAGAAAAATCCGGATCTAAATCTATCTTGAGCTACAGCATCGCGGCCAAATGAGCTAGCCTATCGACGACTAAGGCCGCCGACGGAGGTCGCGTATGGCCTTTCCGGAAAGGAGGGTGGTTAGTAGTCATACTTGAGTAATTGAAGCCTTCAACCGCACCGTATGTAGGAAGAAACACGCATTCAACACTGGGCAATGCGCTGGGGTCGAGACTTGTTCCGAAACAAAGCTTGAAGGGGAACACGCGTTGTGATCCTCCGAAGGAAACAGCAAACAAACGAGCCATCATGATCATATCGCCAACGAATCTCCGAGTCCCTAGTCTCTCCTAAACAGACACCACAGCCGTTCCTCTTTACCGAGTCCCCCGCTCCTGTTCCAACTGCAACCATTTCCGTTGATGCGAATGGCACCTGGAGGGGGAGAGGAGGAGAAGGAGTTTATCATACTGACATGGTCCGCAAGTGGAACAGCCAGTTTACCATAATCGGATCGCAGAGGGTTCCGAAAATGTGGTGAAAGCGTGACGTGACGGTCAAAGTTTCAGCACACGAGGGGAAAAGGTAAGAGGACACTCGAAAGGAACTGGTGTAATGCCACTGTATTTCAAGTATCGCTGGTGTACTACGTGTCTGAAGGCTGTACTTATAGGTAACGTAGATGAATGATAAGTCAGCCTTGGGTAATCATGGATAACGAGAACTGGGGGGTAAATGTAGCTAAGGGAAGTTTACAGGAAAGAAGGTGAGACAGATGTATGATAGCTAGAACACTGGGAAGGAAGGACTGGAAGTGTTCTACAATGTAACGAGTTTGTAAATGATTCGAGGTACATGCTTGGGAGATCTGGAGCGGCGTGTAACGGTCACGGTCCCGCGACATACGCCCTCCAGCGATTGTGAAACAATCGCTCACTCCGCTTGTGGTAAGACGCCGGGTCCGGCAGCCCTGTCGATGTCGGCCTCCTCGTTAGGGGAGGATGCCCGGGACTTGTTGATTTTCGGGTATTGGGCCGCGGTCGCGACACCTACAGGGGGGAAGGCACCAGTGCCAGAGGTGGATGGCGCGCCCGATGCAGTGGCCTGTGTGCCTCCTGCGTCATGGATGGCGGCGGCAATGGAGGCGGCGATGTCGCCAGGAGCGGGTTGGGATGTAGTGCTGTGCTCGGTGGGCAAAACCACGGGTTCGTTGACGTTGATGTCGTCATCCATGACCATGTCGCGGTCGCGGTAGGGAGAAGGGGATCGGGATCGCGTACGAGAGCGGGAACGGTCGTAGGAGGGGTGGCGGCGACTGCGTGGGGGTGGGGAGTAAGGACGCGATCGGTGGCTGCGCATGGAAGGCGCGGGGCTATGCGACCGTTGGCGGAAGGGACGACTGGGTCCCGGCTGATCGTCCTGACGCCAAGCGCGAGCCCGTCCCTTGGCGGGGAGGCCGAGTCTTTTGCGTGCCAGACGTTCGGTCATGGCTTCCTGTTGCCTCTGCTTGGCCTGAGCATCGGCGCGTACCTGGGAGTTAAGAGTCTTGACCTTCTCCTCGAGTTCGATGATTGAGGTCATCTGACGGAGGGCTTCTTCGTTGTCACGCTCGAGGGGCACAGCGAGGTCGATGTAGGAGGGGCCGGGCTTCGCTGGTACCTCCCATGCGCCTCCGGAAAATCTGACGAAAGCGCATCGCATGCGCTTCTCCTTGTCGAAGAAGTCTCTAAAGGTTCGAAATCCGATGGGGGTAGGGGGTTGTTGCCCTGCGCGAATGGCGGCATCGAAGTGAATGAAGGAACGCACTTGGGCGGCTTCGACGGTGCGCCAGGGTTGTCCTTGGTCGTCGAGCAAGGTGTATCGTCCGTCCGTGCCCTTACGGATGAAGTGTAGGTCTTTGTTGAAGGAAAAAGTGTTGGACATTGTGGTTGGGATGGTGCGAGGTGTGCGCGGTCTGTAGCGGGGAGCAGAGGGGTCGTCGAGGTCTGACGATATGCTGAAGCCATTGAGTAGGGTGGCTATATATACGTTGTCGCACCATTCATCCGGAGCTACTTGCATGGAAAATTCATGGAGCTCCTCGCTTGCGATATGCATGGAACCCAGCAGAATTTGAGGGTCGTCGGGTGGCGCATCTGCCTTGCCTTCGGGAAGGGAGCCGATGGATTTCACGCCTTGTAGTTCCAGATAAGCGGGAAGCGCGTCAAGGTGTGTGATGGCATGATGAGGGAGCCAGGTGATGTCACCTGACTTCCACTTGATCTTGAAGATCGCGTTGACACCGCTGCCACTATGTGCGATGATGCTATGGACCGCCCATTCCCTACCGGGTTCTTCGAATTCAGTCGATACCTGGTTATGTTGTCTTCCAGGGAACAACCTATCGTCATTGGGTATGTGTGGCTTCAATAGGGAAGCATGGAAGACGTCGTGTATTCCTCTCTGCTTTAGTGCAGACGGCAACTCGAGCTTGAATGAATTGTTGCCGAAGTCCTTTGTTATTAGGTATGGTCCAATGTACTTTGGAACAAGTTTTCTGGCTAATCCTTTTTTGGCAAAGGAGATATTCTTGGTCGAAAGGTACACCATTTCGTTTTCCTTGAATGGAGCCATTTGACGTTTTCT